TGGAAAGAAAAACAGAAGAAATTGCTGCGTTTCATTGGGGTGGCCTGCAGGGGGCGCTTATCTGGGAAAGTCTTGATCCACCTCGCCCGCCTCATTCCAGGGATTTTTTCAAAGTGTCCTCCTTTATATGAGACCACAGTTGGAACATGAACAAACTCTGGTCTTTCTCTCTATTTGTGCGGTTGCTACAAGCGTACACCGCACAAAAAGATGGCATTTTGACAGCGCTTCTTCTTCTACTATATCTCCGTGTATAAACCACTTCTTCTTCTACTATATCTCTGTGTATAAACCACTTCTTCTTCTACTATATCTCCGTGTATAAACCACTTCTTCTTCTACTATATCTCCGTGTATAAACCACTTCTTCTACTATATCTCCGTGTATAAACCACTTCTTCTTCTACTATATCTCCGTGTATAAACCACTTCTTCTTCTACTATATCTCTGTGTATAAACCTCTTCTTCTTCTACTATATCTCTGTGTATAAACCTCTTCTTCTTCTACTATATCTCCGTGTATAAACCACTTCTTCTTCTACTATATCTCTGTGTATAAACCTCTTCTTCTTCTACTATATCTCCGTGTATAAACCCGGCAGACTGCACCTCCAGGACACGTCACGTCCTGTCCTACGTTTGTTATTCACGCCACTGCCCTGACGTCAGATGAAACCCAAGAATTCCAATCAAAGCAATCACGTCTCATTGGCCAATAGCAGGTTAGGGCCTCCTCAGAACTCTAATAAGACAGACATCACACTGGTACTTTTCTGCAGACTCACTTAATGAGATATGATCTCCGGCCACTCTGAGACACTGCGCCAGTGAGCTTACTCCTGTGTTCACGGACATTTTCAACACCTCTCTGCAGTCCTGCCATGTCCCGGCCTGCTTCAAATCCTCCATCATTGTCCCCGTCCCGAAGAAGCCCAGGATCACAGGACTCAATGACTACAGACCTGTAGCACTTACGTCTGTCGTCATGAAGTCATTTGAACGCCTGGTTCTCTCCCATCTCAAGTCCCTCACCTCCCCCCTCCTGGACCCCCTGCAGTTCGCCTACAGAGCCAACAGATCTGTAGACGACGCCATTAACCTGGCCCTCCACCACATCCTACAGCACCTGGACTCCCCGGGGACCTACGCCAGGGTCCTGTTCGTGGACTTCAGCTCTGCCTTCAACACAATCCTGCCATCCCTGCTCCAGGACAAGCTCTCCCAGCTCAACGTGCCCGATTCCACCTGCAGGTGGATCACTGACTTCCTGACGGACAGGAAGCAGCGAGTGCGTCTGGGGAAGAATGTCTCGGACTCTCGGATTATAAATACAGGAGCCCCACAGGGCTGTGTTCTTTCTCCCCTGCTCTTCTCCCTGTACACCAACCACTGCACCTCCAGCCACGACTCCGTGAAGCTGATCAAGTTCGCGGACGACACCACCCTCATTGGACTCATCTCCAACAACGATGAGTCCGCCTACAGGAGGGAGGTGGACCGGCTGGTGTCCTGGTGCAGTGGTAACAACCTGGAGCTGAACGCCCAGAAGACAGTGGAGATGATTGTGGACTTCAGGAAGAGCACTGTCCCCCCGCCCCCACCCTCCGTGATGGACTCCCCCATCACCTCTGTGGAGTCCTTCCGTTTCCTGGGCACCACCATCACCCAGGACCTCAAGTGGGAGCCGACCATCAGCTCCCTCATCAAGAAGGCCCAGCAGAGGATGTACTTCCTGCGGCAGCTCAGGAAAGCCAAGCTGCCTGCACAGATGTTGGTGCAGTTCTACACGGCCATCATCGAGTCCATCCTCACCTCCTCCATCACCGTGTGGTTCGCTGGAGCCACAGTCAGGGACAAACATAGACTACAGCGCATTGTGCGCTCTGCAGAGGAAGTGATCGGCCGCAGCCTTCCATCGCTGCAGGACCTGTACGTCGCCCGAGCTCGAGGCCGGGCTGGTCGTATCACAGCCGACCCCTCTCACCCTGCACATGGACTATTCCAACCACTCCCCTCAGGCAGGAGGCTGCGGTCCATCAGGACTAGAACCTCCCGCCACAAGAACAGTTTCTTCCCCTCTGCTGTTGGACTCTTGAACACTTCTTAACCTGTCCCCCCGCCCTTTATAAAGTCACTTTACTGCCCATCATACGTCACTTTACTTCACTGTACTGCTGTCACCTTACATTGTGTGCACCATGTGCACTTGTATATTGTAAATAGTAACTGTAACTCTATTTTAAATTTAAATTTATTCTTTAGAAGTGTTTTTTATTCTTATTTTTATTATCTCTTTTTGACTGTTGCACTGAGCCAAAGCAATTTCCAAGTCTGTGACCTCCCGTTACTTACGTTGGCAATAAAAATGATTCTGATTCTGATTCTGATTCTGAAAAACACCAAAATCCCTGGAAAACAAATATGTGAAAATAATGAAAATACTGTCAATAGAACAAGAAAATATGACTTGACAAGAATTCTGAAAATAAGAAAACAATACTAGCCCCAAATGACTTGATTCTATAGTTTAAAAACATACATTTCGAGCATTATTTAATTATTTCTTTAAAAATGTTGACAATATTTTTTCTTAGAACATAGCACCACAAACTTATTTTATCCAAACAATAAAAGTTGTCTTAAATACTTAAAACTTGCTTCAAAACTCACTGCTCAGACTTTTTTCTCAAAGATTATGAAGTATCTTATAAAGTAGTAAAATAATCTTACATGACAAACTACATTCAAGCCAAAAAACTTAACATTAAAAAAATAGCATAATTCAAGTTATTTTTGGTAAATATATCCAGATTTGGCTTGTCTCAGTGCGCCTCTATGACCGTCTTTTTACTGTCAAAAATAATTCCAAAAATTCTGCTTCCCTTTTAGTTGGATTGAGCAGTTATAGTTATAAATGATCAAGTACAGCTTCCTCTCTGCTCCTCTGCTCCGTCAGTCACCGTGGGGGGTCCGAGAACTGGCCCCCACCCCCACCCACCTCTGCACCATCCACGCTTCGCTCTGGTTCAAAGCCAGACTCCACTTCTGCACTTTTCCATTTTTTTCACGTCTGTTTCTTGTTCCAATTGTCTTGTTTTGGTTTTTATCTGTGATTCTTCGTCCATTTTAAAGGGGCAGTTTGTAGTCAGCGTTTGTACTCAATACAATTATAACTTTTGTTACCGTTGTAGAAATCTAACTGGGATTGTAAATCAATTTAAAAAAAAAAATGAAATGAAATGGGACAAAGTTCATGCTAATCAATCTGTTCAAGCTAACTAATCTGTTGTTCTGACGGCGAGGCCAATGACGGGATAGAGGCAGATACTAGCTTTATATCTGGGCAAGAGGAGCGCGGGACCCTGGTCATACTGATTTCTCTTCTAATATCAGAGTGGTGTAATAATAATAATAATAATAATAATAATGCATCGGTTTTATATAGCGCTTTTTTGGACACTCAAAGACGCTTCACATGTGTCATTATTCATTCACTCCAAACACAGTGGTGATAAACTACTACTGTAGCCACAGCTGCCCTGGGGCACACTGACCACCTAATCTCGGACTAAGACGCCATAGATAGATTCTTCTGTTTGTTCCATCCTATAAATATGAGAGAGAGTGAGCACTATTCAGCAGATCAACCCGGGACCTGCCACGCGGTTGACACGGTTTTGTTTCTTGTAAATGTTTACATTTTCTGAAATAATAAACCACACTTTGATTGTAATTACAGCTCTTGGTTGTTTATTTTATATTTAATTATCGTGTATTTCAATCCTTAGAAATTCCACAACAATACCGCACTCTTTCCAGTGACACATGTAGCTACACTGTAAAAAAAGGATAAAAATATTGGTGGTATTTGAAAAGAATGGGCTGGTGCTATGTGCACTGGGTGCAGCCCTGACTGGGTTGGGTGACCCCCGACCCAGAAATGGATTAAGGGGAAGAAAATGGAAGGATGGATGGGTTGTTTCTTAATTGAAGTACATTCTGACTGTCTTTACCCATTAATATGTCCCTCGACTATTTGGTAAATCACTTTTTGAGTCAATACATCCTTAAGCTTGGAACTGAAATCTACCTCTTTGGGACATCTCACCTTTACCATCAAACTGCAACTCAACCATTTGGTAAAGGCCTTAAAACAAAAAGGGGTTAAAAATATATTATTTGTGTTACTAGTGCTCCTACATAAAAATAAATGCCATTGCTTTCTTCAAGGGTTAAAACAAGACTGAGAGGAAACAAAAAACTGGATGAACCTAAATCTTTGGGTATTTAGCAAATGACATAAAAATATCTAAAAAGTGTTGAAAAAAGTGTTGAAAAAATAGATGGAGGAGAGTGATGCCCTCGGCACAGAGCAGGAGACAGGAGAGAGGGGTAGGGTCAGAGAGTGTTTGGGCCGGTGTGTGTGTGAAGTTTTTGTTTGTCTATACCTCAGGGTAGGGTCAGAGAGTGTTTGGGTCATGTGTGTGTATGTGTTTGTGTATAAAGTTTTGTGTGTCTATACCACATGGTAGGGTCAGAGAGTGTTTTGGCCGGTGTGTGTGTGTGTGTGTGTGTGTGTGTGTGTGTGTGTGTGTGTGTGTGTGTATATGTGGCTGTGTGTTTAAGTACATTATAGCTGTCTGAAATATACATTATTTAAAAAAAACGAAAAAACAATTCAAGTTTCTCACTTTTTATGCTAACGGACCAACTTTTCAAATTGTGTGCTTGGCTTACAACATTCTCTCTCAAACTACACACACCCCATAGACGTGAAGTCCTGTTGCAACCCGGTTTTTAAGGTCACACTAGTTAAATGACCAGTGTGGGTATTTCTTAGCTCCAATCAAACTGCCCGGACTATTGATTCAGAGCAGCGTGTCAAAACAGCACGTTAAAATGCAAAAGCCAGGGCGCCCGCTTGGCAATTAGTAATCCAACCTTCACACACAATGCCTGCTTGTACCTACTATTACATGTATTTTTCTGTGTATATTCTTCACTTTTTAACACTGCTAGAAGTCTCCCCTTGGAGCAGAGCTTGGGGAGTTTGGCGGTTTGCAGATTGGGAAGCAGCGGAGATGGCGTGGGCGGGCTGCAGCCGCGGACTACAAATGAGAGGCGCACAAACACAAGCGCGGGCCGATCTGTCACACGTGTAATGAATGCTTCTGTGCTATGCTCCCTTAAGAGGCGTGTATATTCAAATGATGCCGCTATTGACATCTATGGGCCAACACACACACACACACACACACACACACACATGCATATAAGTGTGACATTCTGATGAAGCCGTGCCCTGGAGAGAGCGGGCGGACGAGCCAAAACCTGCCACTGATGCTTGTTCCCGGGAAAACACTGTATATGTATAATCCGTATGTTCAAAAAGCGGCTGAATCACACAAATTACACACATGTTAAGGATTTGGCTGTTTTACTGTCGGATTAGAGGAGGGCATTACGTTGAAAAGTACTGCCCCCTCACTCTTATTGACATTGCTTCCATGTTGGCCACTGCATGTCTCCACAATACTAAAGAGGCTGCAGTGCACATGGAGCTGTAAGAATATGTAAGATTTTCAAGTCATCATTAAAGGGCCCTAATCTGTCATCATTAAAGGGCCCTAATCTGTCAAAATGCATTAATACAACCTGCTCTTTTCCAATACTTCTTTAACTGATAACAGTAGTTCAGAGATATTTGGATTTCAAAATTACTTTTACAGCCCCTAAATTCTTTTCATTTTGATGTCCCACCCTCCACTCTTTCACCAATCAGAACACCAATCAGATAAAGTACCATGTGGCGCAGAACTAAAACAATCTCAAATCATTAACGACAAAACAAGGAACTAAACCAGGATTTCTATCTTTGTGAAAAAGGTGTTGGTTATAGATTTGTTGTTGACAAAACTCTTGTCTATTCAGCTGTTATGGTCCCAGCTGGATTCGTCTGCATATCTGGCAACCTGAGTCAGGAAGAGTGGGAGAGGCTGCAGTACCACTTTTGGCCACATTTTAACATATTCCATCCATCCATCCATTTTCTACCCTTTAATCCATTTCTGGGTCAGGGGGGTGGCAGTCAGAGATGCCACCCAAGTCTCATAGCACCAGCCCCTCACTGACCCTCTGCAGGTGGTGAGTCCACAGGAGGAGGACATTTTAACATATTGCTCTTTAAAATTAGTGCATACGTTTAAGGCGTTTAATTAATACAATACAGATACGCAAATGTTTTTTCCTTTTTGTTGTTTTTACAAAATGGGGTGTGTGTTTGTGTAGGTCCAGTTGTTGAAATCAACTTATAAATGACAAAAAGAAGACAATATTATTCCAACTGCTATATTTAAGAGCAAAGATGACTGTAAAGCATATTGATAAAACATGCAAGTATAACCTTTTATCCATTCAAATTCCTTAAAGGCCTATGTAAGGCACATCTCGAACCCAAACCAAGACATTTCTAAGAGATTTTTTTCTTCTATACTTGAAATAATTTGAGCCCAAAACAGGCAGGCTAAATGTTTATATATTGACATTGTTACTAACACTTTTGAGCAATGGCAAATATCAGACCGGAGCTTCAGCCACACAGGAAGTCAACGAGAATGCAGTAATACACCAGTCATACACACACCAAGCTTTAACAAGGGATGCTATATATAACCCTGTAAAGCCTTTTCTTCACCTTCAATGAAAGGGATCTGAACATGTATTCTAGCAACGGGAGAGACACAAAGCAGGAAAAGTACAGATAGGATTCCAGATAGATATACAGACAAATATGAACTTACCCTGTGATGCGAGGGAGCGTGTCGGTGGAGAAGAGCACCAGGGGAGCCTTGTCCCTCTCAATCAGGCGGATGGTGTAGTGTCCGCTCTGCCGGGGATGGAGGTACACGGCCATGTCCAGGCTGCACTGCCCCTGACCCCCCCACAACCAGGGGCTGATCACCCAGAGACCCCCCAGCGCTGTGCTGTTCACCCACAGGAACTGACCTGGAGAGAGAAGAAGACGCATGAACATGGTCCGCAGACATGACTGGATTACATGGAATCTACTACAGCAAGGGTAATGGATTAGCAACCGCAGTGGTGGAAGCTAATGGGGATCTCCAGTAGATATAGATGGATAGATGGCTTTATCACAGACTTGTGGGCCAGAACAACAATAGACAAGACACAACACACTAGAAACAGACAACAAAAAACAATTAAAGTCCCCAAATCTCTTTAGAGGAGGCAACTATATCCGCGTTTAAACAGTACGCTCTGCTCGTCCACAATAAAAATATCATTCGCACTAGTGTTTAGGCGACACATAAACTTGTGGTTGGCCTCAGTGTGTTCACTCAAAAAGACAAATAGTTCAGAGGCGCTGCTCCATCTGGGCCTTTTTAGAACCAGTCTGAGGGCAGCGTTGTACTGTAGGCCACTTTCAGTTTTTATAGGATGGATTTTTGGGTGGGGCGACAGTGGCTCAGTTGGTAGAGCATTGGCCTTTGAGCCTGAAGGTCGTGGGTTCGAGCCCACCATTGGACCTACTTAACGACTCCCACTGATGACTGCTGTCGTTGTGTCCTTGGGCAAGACACTTAACCCCACTTTGCCTGAAGCCCCCGCTAAAATATCAAGGCTCCTGTGGACTCACCACCTGCAGGAGGATCAGTGAGTAAGGGGAAGAAGATGGATGGATGGATTTTTTGGGTTATTTTTTGCATTAGAACAGGATCCAAATATCCGTGACAGAACATTAGCCTGGGCGAACAGCACACAGCACTGTCCATACAAATGTCTGTCAGGATATGACCAACATATTTCAGTGTTTTAACAGTTTTGAGGATATTTCCAGAAAACTTAAAGTCAGGAAACACCAGGGCTTGGTCCACTTTGGTTTGACAAGTCATAATGACACTTTTCCATTTGTTATACTTGATATTGTTTTGTTCACCGTACGCAGGTGGTCTAAGCAGCTGCTGAAGACCAACTGATCTCGGACTGAACCAGGTCATCTGCATACATGAAGTGATTGATTTTACCATCTCCAGCGACATAAACAATATATCAGATCAATTTAGCAGATCTTTAGCTGTCGGGCTCCCGTCTATCAATATTGGGATTAAAAAACCTTCACTTAAAGCTGGGGTATCTAACTTTAAAACTACAAAATGCCTGAACTGTGTAATAAAATCTGTCTCCAATGTGTCCTTGTTTTCCTCTAGAACTAGTATTTACATGTGTTTGTTGTTAGTACAAATACATTTATTATAACAGTTTTATATGTGAGTGGAAAAATGTTAGGTACCCAAGCTTTAAAATGAAATATAGCAAACATTGACGTCAATATACATATTTTCTCCATCATTTCAGAGTCACTTCTTGATAAAAATTCTGTATTGAAATGGAGTGGTGGTGAAGTCGTGCTAAGACCACAGCTGGCCAGAGGTAAACGGTGGAAAAGAGGCTGTCAATCTGCAACAGTGGCCTCTCTGACCAACGGCAAACCACTATTCACACAGACTCAAACACGGCAATGTGGGCAAAATAATCCACAAAACTAACACATTTCACTTTAGAGCCACAGCTGTCGCACTTTGGCACAAGGCCTCACCACAATAGTTTTCCAGCAGAGACCAGACTTTCATTCATCACACTGCAATGAATCACTAAAGTAAACTTAATACAAATGATGACAAATTTTACGTTTTTCTTTAAGCATGTGCACAATAAATGCTGGTTATTAAGACATACAAACAGCCCGACACCCCTCACGATAAATAATGACAGCTAAGACAGAGATAAAACGCAGAGTTAGAGTTGGAACATTGGCTGACATTGATGAAAACGTATGAAACAGAATTCTTTTGCAAAAACTGTGGACGTGTCTTGCATCGCAGAGACAGCAGCGTGGAAATCAAAGCCTGTACTTTCTCCCTCACTTTGATGGAGTCTCATTTCCCTTTCAAACCTATTGCGCTCATTCAGGCAGGAAGTTCATCACAAGTTGGGCCTAGAGTGTGTGTGTGTGTGTGTGTGTGCGTCTGTGTGTGGAGGGGAGGCACAAAGAAGTCAACTTGAAAGGAATCCAATCCATGTTTAATGTGCACCGTTAAGAAAAACACTGTTGATGAGCAGCAGCTAAAATGCACATGGAAAATGCTGCATAAATGATTGTTATTGTTCTCCGGAGTCATTGCCCCAGAGCTCCGTGGGTTGTTACTGTCGCTACGATGAGCCCGGTACAGTTAAATATGGATGCGCTTTGTAGGTTTTGGCTTATTACAGTATATTCTGTCTCTGGAGAGGCACGAACAAGTTGTGTTTTCACGTCGGATGCAATTTATATGACAAACTTTGAAGATATTGTTTTAGTTCCGCGGTAGAAGAGGCTAAATTGTAAACAGTGATATTGATAATAATGCACTGAGCGCTTTTCAGGACACTCAAGGTCACTTCACGTGTCATTATTGTAGCCACAGCTGCCCTGGGACACACTGACAGAAGCGAGGCAACCAGTCTGTGCCATCGGCCCCTCCCTCCACCACCAACCATTCACACACACACCAGACTCGTTCTAATGTGGGGGAAGTGTCTTGCCTAAGGACACGACAACACTTTACAGCCGCAGCCGCCCCACTGTGGCACCTGCTGTTCCCAGAGGTCTCCCATCACAGCACTAACCAAGCCCTGCCCTGCCCTGCTTAGCTAATGGGATCTGGTCTTTGCATGCAAGTATGGCTACAATGATAATAAAAAATGATATAGCATTGGTTTTAAATGATTTTAAAGCTTTTTATGGACCCTCAATTATGCTTTTATGCTGCATCGACAGCATCTGGACCAAGAACCACTTTTGGACCAAGACCCACATTTGGACCAAGAGCCACTTTTGGACCAAGAGCCACTGATGGACCAAGACCCACTTTTGGACCAAGAGCCACTTTGGGACCAAGAGCCACTTTTGGACCAAGAGCCACTTTTGGACCAAGAACCACTTTTGGACCAAGAGCCACTTTTGGACCAAGACCCACTTTTGGACCAAGACCCACTTTTGAACCAAGACCCACTTTTGGACCAAGACCCACTTTTGAACCAAGACCCACTTTTGGACCAAGACCCACTTTCGGACCAAGAGCCACTTTGGGACCAAGAGCCACTTTTGGACCAAGAGCCACTGATGGACCAAGACCCACTTTTGGACCAAGACCCACTTTCGGACCAAGAGCCCTTTTTCGGACCAAGAACCACTTTTGGGCCGAGAGCCACTTTTGGACCAAGAACCACTTTTGGACCAAGAGCCACTTTTGGACCAAGACCCACTTTTGGACCAAGACCCACTTTTGAACCAAGACCCACTTTTGGACCAAGACCCACTTTTGAACCAAGACCCACTTTTGGACCAAGACCCACTTTCGGACCAAGAGCCACTTTGGGACCAAGAGCCACTTTTGGACCAAGAGCCACTGATGGACCAAGACCCACTTTTGGACCAAGACCCACTTTCGGACCAAGAGCCCTTTTTCGGACCAAGAACCCCTTTTGGGCCGAGAGCCACTTTTGGACCAAGAGCCACAAACAGGAAGTTGATCTAAAATAAAAAAGTCCTCACTGTGGGAAAAAACAGGGTCTCTTATCTTAAAACAGGAAATGAACTTAAACCATGACACACAAGAGTTAACTTCTGCGATGCCGTGAAACCCTGAGGCAGACTGACGGAAGTGAGGCTACTAATAAATGTCACCCCCCCCCCACCCCCCCTCACCACCCCATAATTACACAGACACCACACTCATACAAGGCAATGTGGGTGAAGTGTCTTCTAAAGGACACAGTTTACAGCCGTAGTCCTGGTGTGGCCCCTGGTTCCCATCACAGTACTAACCAGGCCCTTCTCTGCTTAGCTTCAGGATCCGGATCTCATATGTAGGTGGCATCACAAGAAAAAAAAATGCAGATAACACTATATCGAGCCTTTAAAAAAAAATAAAAAAAATAATGCAAATCTGGACGAATTATTATGTAAAAATAAAACTTGAGCAATGACGCCTTAAGCTAAAGAAGCTGTTCAGGTTATTCTACAAAAGCAGTTTGTGTTTCTTCCACTCACTTTTTTAAACCTTTATTCACATTTCACAGCACATTTACAAGAACAAACTACATGAATTAAATTAATAACACTCACAATAATTTCAACAATAATATCAATATTTACAAAATGGTTATTTACATGTATTTTAAAAGTGTAGAATGTTCCATGGGAGGTGGAAGGAAGTTTTCCGTTTGAGTTGTGTGATGATTTGTTTGTATTTTGTTGTGCCGTCAATGAAAGTTTGTGATGCTGTCATTTCAGTCTGTGTTTTCCAGAGTTGTACTGTAGATTTTGCGATGATAAGTTGAAAAAGTTCTTGCATCAGCAGAGGGAGAGTTGAAGTCCAGCTCTGGCCTAACATCTATGCTGGGCCGTGACTGTCGCCCCCTGCAGGACACTCTTGTCTGCTTTGGAGAGTAGTTTCAGTGACAGATTGATCTACCCCCGCTGTGTGAAGGAGAGGTTGCGCAGGTCTTTCCTTCAGACTGTACAATCCATACAATACTCTCGCTTCTCAGCAGGAAGGTCAAATCCTGGTCAAAACAGGGTCTTTCTGAGTGGAGTTTGCATGTTCTCCCTGCTTTTCTCCGAGTTCTCCAGTTTCCCCTTCTACTTAAAACTTGTAGAATAAGTCTGGCATGTGGCTCCTGTACCGGCCCCGCTCCCATCTCTGTGAGGAGAGAGAGACTAATGGCCACAATTTTTTAGCGTTTTTAACTGGTTTGGGAAAGGCGCTATATAATTTTGTTTTACTTACTTACAATGAGAAATGTGAATAAATAAAAACTTAAAACTTAAGAGTGTCCACTGTCACTTTATTCACTTCCCCTGCCCTATAAGTAAATAAGTTTGCACTAAATACTGTACATAGAGAGAGATATTCGGAAAGACTGTTATAGAAGCATTTCCAGCTAGCCAAGCATTGATATTGATAGTGA